TAGTCAAACTCCAGCTATATGCTTCTCTACAAGATTCTTGTGCTATAAAGATAACATACATTGCTATATTTCTCATTATGAGGAAATGGACATAAGCCTTTTAGTTTCGAGTTCATCTATCGCCGAACCATTTGTAAGATGTGCGATGCTTGATGTGCGTATTGCACAACGTGCGTGCTACTTAACGGCCTGTAAGACTATTGCCTATTTATTTTTAATGTTTCTTTGCCTCTTTTAGTTTGATTGTATATATATATTCACAACACATTTCTACAATTTGCTGCGCTAGAAAAGGTTTCACTGAGGACTTGATAATGAGAGATCGGTTGCCCCACATTGTGTACAGTACCCACACTAATTATTCGACAGAAAACGCAAAAACTGACGATCCGCGTTTTTTTCGTTTTTTCTTCATAACTTCCTTCAAATTGCGTAAAATACAAATCCGAAGAAAGCATGATGCTCAGCTTGTCAAGATGAATCTTCTGATATACTGTACTCTCGTACTATTCTGTTTTCAATCTGCTCGATTTTTGTGTGAGGACGGGTATTCGTAGTGGTGTAACTCAGCGAAGAACACACATGGACGATTCATGTAAACATGGTTCAGTAGTGCTGTCCCCGTAGATTATCATGTACTAGCATTCAGCAAAGGATCCCCTTTCCAGAAAGATAGGCCGTTCAATTTTGAAAAAATCGATGTCTCTCAAATTTTGGTTACCGTAACCATACCGTAAGACGCTAATTTGCAAAGCAGGTGCGTTTTTCGTGATCAGCAGGCTAAATAACCCCTATGCGCAAGTTTTCCGAGGAATGTGGGAGGACCGGCCCGCCGCCCGTCACCCTCGGCTCAGTACGCGCCGCAGTCCGCGTCGCACTGAAACTCATCACTGAAGCGCGTTTTTACGCTAGCGTCGCAAATATGCAAAAAGAGTTAGCACCATGTTAGTACCCATCCCCACTGTTCGTCACTTTGTAATCACCTAGCATAGGCACATCTGCCCGAAAAGGACAAGGTCCACGGCAAATCCATAACCTCATGCCGTACACCTTCCGGAACTCCACGAAGAAGCCTCATTATGCAAAAATAAGTAGGCTGTTTGTATCTAGCATACCAGATAACCCTCTTAGACCGATCAAAGGCAAATCTGTGGTTTTGACCCCGACACACAATGCAAGGAAAAAATAAGTTGTCGGAAAAATCTCGTAAATAACGTGCAGGAGAATGCCCATCTATTGTGTTCCAGCAAAAATCACAGCTTCGAAATTTGAGGCCTGGATGTTATAATAGCGCCAATCTCGTAGAGGCGGAATGCTTGCACATTGCTATATAAAACTCCATCATCCATTCAAGACTTGTGCGGGGAAGGAGGCTGCACAACACGTGATCCTACCAGGGAGAACAGACTAAACAGCAGAGCGACTCTACATTTCCACATCGCTTTACTAGTCATCTTCAGACAATGAGCGTGATTTGTGAAGCCTACAAGTCGTAGATGTTCATCCTTGTTGCGATGTCTGTTGCGAAAATTTCTCGAATTGTATTCTAGCGGATCTAGTGGGATTACTGTGACTTAGTGAATGCGATACTCTCGTTTGATAGGAAGGTAGCGCCTCAAAACCACATTTAGCGACATATAAATCAATGGGTTTTGATTGGTATTACTGCCAGAACTCTGCCCCGAACTGAAGCTGATGAACTCATTGACAAATTTGGAATCCCGCTAATGCCACATTTCCCGTGACTGGACAAGCATGTGAGTGGACAGAGTCACTGGCTCTAAATTTGCATACCATACTGACATCCTATCTGTCCAACCTGTCCAACCATAAAGCCTTGTCTTCTTGGTGCAGAGAGTGAGTCTAGTCCGGACCGCGCAAAAAAGGTCGTGATCTCAGCAACAGATTGCATTATTTTTATACATGTCTATCCTCTCTAATAGTATGAAGCGGACAATCAAAAATGGAGGAAAGTTTTCGTCTGCGTAGAGTCATGCCTATCATTACTGCATAGGTCTCTCCTTACTGCCTGCTCATATTTTACTGGCAAGCTTTAGTGTTTGACCCTAGCTGAGATAGAAGCAATTGTTTGGCGTCTTCCATCTGCACAAAAGCACACGAGGCAGTGACTGATTTGTTTGGCAAACTGCTCCGCCAAACGGAGCCATAACGAAATCTACGCACTAAAATAAGTTTGAAAAACCTTTTCGTCTGGTAGCTTAGAATACTTGCGCAAAATTCTCTCATGCTTAATGAAACGAGTATACGGGTGCACGCGTCGCCTTTGAGCCGCGATGCGTACTGAGCCGACGGTGACGGGCGGCGGGCCGGTCCTCGGAATGTGGGCTCTTTGATTTTTTCTCGTTCTAGGCTCTAAAGCTTGCCGACGGGTTTTGGCTGAAATATTGATGATCTTGGATTGACCGGAAACTTGGCCCATAGAGGTTTTCGGACTCGCTGATTACAGAAATAGTGCCCTCTGTGCAACATAAGTTCTTTTGGCAGAGTTATGCTGAGAGGAATGCTGCGATACTACGCAAGTGCCTAAGTTTGTCTGCCCTTTGCGCGTGTCTGTTGGACAACTTACCTGCTCCTTTTTGTAATTTGAAATCACTAGAGGCAGTGCTCTTAGAGCATGCTTAAACTAGGCCCTTACCTTCATTGATCGCCGAACTGTGAGCTGACGAACTCACGTCCTCATGAAAATCATTCGAAATTTTAAGATCGCATATTTTGGCCAAATATCGCCGCGAATGGTTACAGATGACTCTGATTGCAGATATTATGTTTATATACACATGCAAATTGATAATTTATGCCCCATACTGCTGCTTACCCCTTGTACCAACTCTTACACCTGTAACTCAAAGTTTGCAAAAAATCGATAAGCCGATATCGACCGATGACGAAATGTAATCTATCAGACCAGCTCGGCTCCTAAGGCTGTCATATTGATTCCATGTTCCGGAACTGTTTCCGCGCAGTCTCGCAATGTTCCCGCACTGTGCTCGGAACTGTGGAACTGCAACTGTGCTGCATGCACTGCAGCCGCCCCGCACGCGTTTTGAACGGCGGGAGTTGGAGAATTTTGACCGTTTTCAACGGTTTTTCTTCCAAATTTTTCTCATTTTGGCCTTATTCCTCTACCCTGCTCTTTTTTTTTGATCAGCAGTACTTCGAGCTCGAAGCGGGGCTGAAGAATGAGCGCTTTTCTGTTCTGCGTATGCGACAAAATGTGTGTTCTTGCGCTCGTCCATTTTCTCTTCGCTTTATTTTTACAAGGAAAGGGGCTGAGAATGGTCAAAAAGGAAACTCATCAGAAAAGAAGAGAAAAGTCCCAATTTATACAACTTCAGAATTGCTCCTACTCCTTAATTTATGGCGAAAAGCGCTCATTCTTCAACCCCGCTTCGAGCTCGAAGTTCTGCTGATCAAAAAAAAAAGGAGCAGGGTAGAGGAATAAGGCCAAAATGAGAAAAATTTGGAAGAAAAACCGTTGAAAACGGTCAAAATTCTCCAACTCCCGCCGTTCAAAACGCGTGCGGGGCGGCTGCAGTGCATGCAGCACAGTTGCAGTTCCACAGTTCCCAGCACAGTGCGGGAACATTGCGGGACTGCGCGGAAACAGTTCCGGAACATGAGAATCAATATGACAGCCTTAGGAGCCGAGCTGGTCTGATAGATTACATTTCATCATCGGTCGATATCGGCTTATCGATTTTTTGCAAACTTTGAGTTACAGGTGTAAGAGTTGGCACAAGGGGTAAGCAGCAGTATGGGGCATAAATTATCAATTTGCATGTGTATATAAACATAATATCTGCAATCAGAGTCATCTGTAACCATTCGCGGCGATATTTGGCCAAAACATGCGATCTTAAAATTTCGAAAGATTTTCATGAGGACGTGAGTTCGTCAGCTCACAGTTCGGCGATCAATGAAGATAAGGGCCTAGTTTAAGCATGCTCTAAGAGCACTGCCTCTAGTGATTTCAAATTACAAAAAGGAGCAGGTAAGTTGTCCAACAGACACGCGCAAAGGGCAGACAAACTTAGGCACTTGCGTAATATCGCAGCATTCCTCTCAGCATAACTCTGCCAAAAGAACTTATGTTGCACAGAGGGCACTATTTCTGTAATCAGCGAGTCCGAAAACTTCTATGGGCCAAGTTTCCGGTCAATCCAAGATCATCAATATTTTAGCCAAAACCCGTCGGCAAGCTTTAGAGCCTAGAACGAGAAAAAATCAAAGAGCCCACATTCCTCGGAAAACTTGCGCATAGGGGTTATTTAGCCTGCTGATCACGAAAAACGCACCTGCTTTGCAAATTAGCGTCTTACGGTATGGTTACGGTAACCAAAATTTGAGAGACATCGATTTTTTCAAAATTGAACGGCCTATCTTTCTGGAAAGGGGATCCTTTGCTGAATGCTAGTACATGATAATCTACGGGGACAGCACTACTGAACCATGTTTACATGAATCGTCCATGTGTGTTCTTCGCTGAGTTACACCACTACGAATACCCGTCCTCACGCAAAAATCGAGCAGATTTAAAACAGAATAGTACGAGAGTACAGTATATCAGAAGATTCATCTTGACAAGCTGAGCATCATGCTTTCTTCGGATTTGTATTTTACGCAATTTGAAGGAAGTTATGAAGAAAAAACGAAAAAAAACGCGGATCGTCAGTTTTTGCGTTTCCTGTCGAATAATTAGTGTGGGTACTGTACAGAGTCAATTACTAAATTAGAATTTGCTCACAGACAGAATCTGATTCAGACATGAGCTGAGCTGTTGGTATTTACGAAACTGCTTGCGCTCCGCGGGAATATTGAAGAATAGTGCCTATCTAACGTGCCGCAATCAGTCGGTCACTATTGCCTGTCACCATTTTTGGTGAAGGCTAAAGTTAATGCTGTTAAAAACGTCAGTGACAAGGGTACAGATGAGAAAACAGTCAATCTGGAATTGTACTGGAAAAATAATTTATAAATGTTTACTGAATTCGAAGGTAGTTTTCTACAATACAGTACATATAAAACGTGGTCTCCCTACCGTTCCTCATTAAGTAGTCGCATCCGATTGCGGTGAGATTAGCATCCTAGAAAACACTGATGCTTTTTTGAAAAGAGTTGCTGAGACATTGACTGGATTTAAAGAAATGATTTCACAGTTTTGTTGATATTAGACTGTTATTTCAAAGGTTATACATTATGTGAGCGTTTTTCACAAACTTATCGTAAGCACATGATACGTATTCTAGGGATTTCTTACTGAGATTTTGAAGCCCAAAAAATGATCTCTAGAAGAACGAATTTTGGAAGTTGGAATGAAATTGAGATTTCCATTCGTGCTGGAAGAAACGTAGTTTGAAATGATAAATGTTTTAAAAAGAAAGATAGAACAATATTTTTTAATTCCTGCAATTTGCAATTAACCTCCCTATCTATCTATTTATATCTAAAAACATTATTCGAGCTATTTTCTGTTTAAAATCATCAATTCTTTGAAAACTTAAGTACTTATTCGAAACGTAAATAAGTAAGGTTTGCTCTTAACACGATCAAGTTCGTTTATCAAAACATGAACATTGAAACTTCGTAAAATTTCATAGAGGAGACGGCACGCTTCATGATTTCAGATTTTCCTCTACTATTGTGGTTGGTTGCCGTGATTCTAACTTTTGAGTTTAGGGATGCTAACAGATGATTATCATCACGAGAGAGTTCTACAGCTTTATGTAGAGAAGGGCTGGAGTAAAAAAAATACGGAGCTAATAAAGCCGCCTTTGAAGAGATATTACCAATCCTTTTTGCTCAAAGTTAAAGATAAACGGAAAGATGAAAAAAGTTCGAGGCACAATCTCGAAAACTAATATTGTATTCGGAATCCCCATGCTCGATTACCTCCCTGTTGCAAACTTCCAGCCTCGTAGCTCAAACTTTGCAAAAAAATCGATAAAAATCGATAAAATCGATATCGATCGATGACGAAAGGCAGCCTATGACACCCGCCGGGGCCCGAAGTGTATGTGTGCCAAGTTTGGTCCGGATCGGTTCAGAAATGGAATTTTCTATTCGGAACATACGTACAGACAGACATACAGACATACATACAGACAGACAAACAGACATTCAGCTTTATATATAAGATGCTTACCTTGAACATATAGGTAACATTGACAGCGAGTTCGTCGGGGTCCGGTCTGTCGTTTCTTCAAAAGTTCTCTATGCTTACAAATTTGGGAGAGCTAATAAGCTTAGCTCACTTGAATCTGCGATAAAATCGATCGGCTTGATGTTTTTCAAGGTGAGTCATCCTCGGTGCTTTTGATAAGATTTCTCGAGCTCTCAAAGCGAGTTCGCAACTAAATGCTGTCTGAAAAGTCAAGGTCTGCAATGAAATTGAATTCGGTAGTCAACCATTTATTAAGCTATTCCAAAAGAATACTTGATTTAGCGTGCTATTTTTTTCAAAGCAAACGTTCCCGGCTGACGAGGAAAAAATGATCGCAAAAGCAATTTCAAAGATCACATTATCAACTTACACCATTCCTTTTTAGTCGATAGAGTAGTTCGTCCATGAAGGCTATGGCATAGGGCTTGACCCCGCAATCGAGAGCACGAATATGAAAGTTATTGTAAAAATATTTAGCAGCAAAAGCCAACAGAGGGAGAGTCTAAATGTTGAAGGCTAAGTCCATGAAAGCGTTAGAAGTCTAACTTACGCTAAGGATGTAGAGCAGCTTCATTTAGTTCTTCCTCAATCCCCTCGCTTCATTTATACCGCTAGCAACGAAATTAATGAGTTAGAAAGAAATGATGTTCGCTCTGGCTTTAGAGTACAAGTAAGCACAATAGCGTTCGTCGTGGATTTTTGAACAACGGACAATGTTTGGTGACTATGAGCAATTGTTGTGCTCGAAATATACCAGCATTAAAGCTAAAATACACGTAAAAGTGCAGCTGTTTGCGATGATAATTCCAACGTCGTACAGCTGTTCAGTTTTCATTATACAAAAGCGAATTTTCAAATGAAATTTGCGTGGGAGAGCAGTGCCGCAAAAGAAAGAATCACCGTAGAAATTCAATAATCATTTCAAGCTATTTTTCCCCCAAATGTTTCATCTGAATGTTAATTTGAACGCAGAATGCTGGCAGGCTGGGACACTAATATTTCCATGGAACGCGAGCGATCGACTGAACCATTCAAGAGTGAGATCATCATATGACCCAGGATACAAAAAAATTGCATGTTTTTATAAGCACATTTGAATTCCTTCGCCAACCACTCACAAACAATAACAAACCATGCTTGCACTCCGTATGTCATTGAAACTCCCTGGTTCCAGCCGTTTTGGGGCACAGTAACCCATGGGTTTCAAGGAGAATAAAGCCCAAAAAATACAAAAATTAGCTGATTTTTTGGGCGCTACCATCGTTAATAATATGGTTATTATTTTGTGTTTTGACTCATTTAGGTTAAGGTTTTAAGACTTTCTTCAACTTTGCTCGTCTCCGCTTCTAAAAATGAATATTTTAAACACGTCTTCTATGCAGATTTTATCCATTTGAATTATATATCTGGAAAACAATCGGCGAGCATATCATTTAATTGTCTTCTTCTCGTTATTGTAAAACTAATGTTTACATACCTGTATAAGCGCCCTTCGCAAGATTGTTTTTTGGAGCAATCAAAGTATACGTTTGATTTGCAGCAACTTTTCGAAGTTTCCGGTCATGCGTTTGCACTTTCGTTATGAAAACATGCAGCGCACAAACTGAAAATCTTAAAACCTCTCTAAGCGATATAAAATTGAGTGAGTTGCATTGGCAATGCTTTCAAATTTCAATTCTTCTTCGTAGATATAAATGGTTCACTGTTTCCTCTACAAGCTTTTGCATCATAACAGCGCAAATTAAGGCTTTCAAGCATAGGATGCATGGCAAAGATTTTATGAGAAGTTGTGATTCTTCGAGGAAAGCAAAAACTTACTGTTAGCATGTGATCACATGCATCGCTTCATACTCTTATGACTGATCAATCAACCATTTGACACATGCAAAAAATGACTGCCTAAACAAAGGTGTGCTTCACACATTCTCCCAGAGTATGTAGCATGTAGCAGAACATGTAGATATATCGTTTGTTCCCCAGCAAGATTCCCATAGATACCACGTCATCTCGCTGCCTTTCGCTCTTTTGAACGTGTTAACCTCGGGCAGTTCCGTTGAAATCCCAGAAGAAACGTGTCAAAAAGAGCGAAAGGCAGCGTCGCACCACGTACGCACGCTGGTTCACATGGGAACCTCTCTGGGGCGCAGACAGTATGTTGTTGAACTAGGGAGTCTATTGTAATCGCTTTTCATGCTTTATTGCTATTGAAAACTTCAAGCGCACAATTTGGCGTCCGTATGTTTCCGCTCGCATTATTGCTAGCTTGAAGGCATCTATGTATGCACCACTCGTCTTTTGCTTGTGTATCAGACTTGATTATTGTCCTAGAACAGTGAAAAAACTCAATGACCTATTCTAATACAAGGTTGATAATCAAGGCGAAGATGAACAAGGCTGGAAAAAAGTTGATTCTGGTGTTTCTAAATTGAACATAATTAAACACAACATAATTACGTTCCAAATTTAATGTTAATTTCGAAATACTATATGGCTTTGAAAATACTATTTGGCACTCTGCACAAGGGTGAAGTCGAAAAATTCAAAACAATTAAGAAAAAATTCTAAGAAGTGGAAAGTGGATGTTTGGTGACACCGCTCGGCTATAAGAGGAGCAAAACCCAGAACGAACATGCCTTTGTATGTATCATCTTATTGTGGGAGAGCGCAAATGATTGGTTTCTTGCAAGGGAAAGCCGCTTGCTCGAAGTGGTGATTCAGAAGGTGATGTATACCAGCGAGTAGAGCTTAGAACGCCAATTTAAAATGTACCTTCTATATTTGCGAAGCGTTTTTCTATTACTTAAAGGCAGTGTCCGGGCAAAAAGTCGATTTTGAGATTTTGTGCTTACCGGGGCCTATTCACTATGCTGAATCCGAAAATCCACATTGGAAAGCGCAAAAACGGCAAAAAAGACTCTAACGCAGAAGGGAAATCGAAAGTGGGCGGAGTCCTTCCCACTGTGAATTTCGCAGTCCCAGCTTCTAAGGTAATCTTCCCAATTCCTCCAGCGCCTTGAGATCTCCACCGACCAAGTGCGAATACATGACCTGAAATCGGAACCGAGAAGATCGCTCTGGAAGCTGGGAGCGTACCACAGTGGGGAAGGTCCCGCCCACCTGCTGATTTCCCTCCTGTGTTAGAGCCGTTTTTCGCCGTTTTCGCGCTCTTCAATGTGCATTTTCTGATTCAGCGTAGCGAATAGGCCCGGCTAAGCAAAAAAAATCTCAAGATTGAGTTTTGCCCGGACACTGCCTATAAGGTCTTTTCTATATTCGTAGAAGTGACACTTAGTAAGAAAATAACAGCATGAGAATAAAAACACGATTAAACAGTACTTCAAAACATTCAGAAGTCAGATTAGACCCAAGGATGGGTCGCTTGCTTGAGCATTGATACTTTTATTGAAAACTTCCGTGATTTTATAACTCAAAATGCAAGAAAAAATTTGGCATAAAAGCTTCTCACTTATTTCAAGAGAATCTACGCAGTTACAGAACGTATATCAGCTCAGCGTTTCAAGCTTTTCCGCCGGTATAGTCATCTTCTAGAATTGTCACATCGACCAAGCGGCCTTCCTTTCTCAGTAGTGTTCGCTGCAATAATTGTTGTAGTTAAAAGCTAAAACTTTTGTATCGAAGTTACAAAGTGGTTACATAAAACATACTCTCTATCAGGAAATAAGTTAGCCCCTTCGATCCGAGAATCGCAGTGAGCCAGGTTTTTGGAAAAACATTCAAGAAAATGATTCAAAAAATTAACATATAACTTCTTAATAACTTATAACTTATAACTTCTTGACAAGTGAAGCCTTTTTAGTCAAGGTGGCTCTCCCAAATAAGACCTATATTCCTTGGAAGAGCATTTAACGCCGATTTTAAATCTGTCTTTATTATCTACGAGGCGACCCTGGACGCCAAGTTAGTGTTTTTGAAGCGGAACGTAAACGCAGAATTTAAGGTAAAACTAAGTCTTACGGTGTTTACAGCGCTCAAACAGAGCAACGATGCATATTGGAAAGAAGATATTCAGTGAAACGTAGTGCATGGTACGCGATAGGTACGCATGATGCCAAAACACAGAACACATTTTATATCTTCTATACATTGAGCAACCACCATCCTTTACCGTTCCTTTCCTCACCATTGTTTATAGTCTTACTCCACTGTCGCATTAAAAGTCTTCGCTTTTCGCATTTATCAACTAACAAATTCTAAACAGCTTAGGCCCGCAGTAAAGCTCGGTCACGGGAGATGATCTCCCCTGAGGCCCTCATATGAGGCTTTATCGGGTGAGATGAGGACTCCCACTTTTCCGTGATGCAACATACTTAGGTCACCCTACAGGTAAGCTTCAGATGAAGCCCGGCAGGGAGATCAGCTCCATGCCGAGTCATCGGAGATGAGCCGGGCGACGACATGAGGTAGATACTGTGCTAAAGAGGAGAGCACAGAGAAAACCTCCGTAAGTTGCTCCCGAGTAACCTACGAGACACCGCAGTCGACGTTCTTTTGCAGTGCAAAACTCCCAAAATTGCACAAATTCGGGGGCCTAAGCGAGTGAGGATCGATGAACAGCTGATTGCGTGACGAAATCGGAAAGAAGTTTTTTTGCATTTTTTGCAGTAGTTGCTCGTTTTTTTCCAAAAAAACGCTTCAGATAACAAAAAGGTAAATTTACCTTTCTAGCCATTTTTCGCCAAGTGTGATTTTTCCTCGTATGAAGGCCAAAATATTGTGTATTTGTTTTATCTCGTTGTTTGCCTGGTGAAATCTCTGCTAGCGGTTATCATCGATTTTTTCGACAGCGGCCGCTATCAAAGATCGCCAGGCCAAGTAGCAAAAATCCAGCTAGCCGCACTCGAACCACGGCTCTGCCGCTTGAAGCGCTTTAGTCTTATCCATTTGACTAGTAATGCACGGCAGAAACGTCCCATCTTTGAAAACGCGAACGTCCAGTAAGTGATCTGCTCTAAATCAATCGCTCCCCTGGCAGTGTGCTTAGGCGCGATGAGATCAACTCCGGTCCGCCTCAAGAGAGATGTCCTAATGGGGGTTTACTAAGGGCCTTAATCTCAAATGTATCAGATGACGTGCAAGTACATGGAGCCTTCGCTGACACTAAGAAATCTGCTTTTTGACATTACTGGTCCGAAAGTTTGTGCTGTTTTTCAGACCCATGCTCAAACAATTAGAATAACGATAGACAAAGGCTCTAAACATTGTTCGAAGCAGAACTTCTTCTTCTTTCTAACAGTCATGTGAAAGGCGTGCAAGTGGTACCCAGGCAGCCGACTGCTGCCACAGCCAGCCGCCAGAGCTGGCGTCAGCGCAGCCGCATACGGTAGGATAATTATGCTAACCATTTGATACCTCTCCGCCGAGAGGTTTCCTCGCACCTCGTCGCGTTGAGGTGCGATATCAGCCTCAGGGATAGCGCGATATCATTAATAATGTTATCAATTTCTATGTCTTTTTAATTAGCAAAAAATTCTTAGTTTACTGATAAAATGAAAATGAACAGATTTACACAGAGTAAAGATTTCCTAGAGGAGAAATGGTTCAAAATTTCAATCTCTTAAAATGACCAAAAGGTGAGTGAATTCAAAATTTAAA